TCTTCATGACGTTTTCTTTTGTTTTAGGTTGGTCCTCGAGAAACTTCACACAAGGGTCGAATATGAGTTGTTTCACCTGATACTCGTGACTTAATTGTAGAAGATCTTCCACATTTTCCACTAAAAACATTGAAAGGAAAGGTCTAAATTAAACAAAAGCCCAAATTTACTTTTCAGAGGTAAATAGCGCCAGGCAAGTTGCGATGTTACTGTGAAAGACTTTCCTAAACATCTTAGCTTCGAAGCAAGCTAGAAGGTCCAAAGATTTTGTATGACCGTAGGATAATTCCTCTCCAGCGGAAACATTTGCCATGTACGTTAGCTTTAATTATGTTGCAAAAATACTTACTTGTAATTTCCACTCTCTCTTGGATGTATTGGAAGCCGTAAATTATCTTCAGAAAGTCCAGAACACCACTGGCATTTTTCTCAGGCAGAGGAATCTCGTTGGTTGTGGCTTCTTTAAATTGTGATTTGAACATAGCCTTGAACACTGGAGAGTTCATACTCAGTATCAGACGATGAACATGAAACTTCTCATTCTTCACCACGAGAATTACGTCACTATCTTCCCAGGGTTCAGAAAAGCAATGCTTCAACTTCTTTTCTGATTGGTCTCCTCCTACAGACGGAAAGGTGTTGGTAAAATAAGCCAAATCGGAGTTTTAAGATTCTGCATGCGTTTCAGTTATCCCTAATTTATTCTCTTCTTTTGTTATTTTAAAAAGAAAACAAAGGAAAAAAAATTAATTAGGGATGAAAACGCATGAATACTGCACTGATTGTTTAAAGTCTGAGTCTCTAGAGCGTATGCAAGGTTCCTTTTTACATGAAATGCTAAGTTCGGAAAATCATCTAATATATAAATATGTAAATATCAACATAACAGAAAGAGGAAGTAGGTTTTCGTGACCAAGAATTTAAATTTGCATACTCCACTTGCATGAACGCATATTAAATGGTGCATATTGCGAACAAATCGTGTAGCCAAATGACACACACTTTTGTTTTTATTTGCGGAACAAACCTTAGATTCAATATTTATGCATTTGCTTGTCTGAAATGGTGAAGCAACTTTGTTAATAACCGATCTTGAGGTCAGTGTTCCTACAGCATTTTTCCTGTTCTGTATGTATTCATATGCAGCAGTATGTGAATCGTTAACTCACCAGTTTCGTTTTGGCTTCCCTTTTCTATAAAGCTTGTGTCCTCGATGGTGCTGTTAGATGCCATCTCTGTATAAGCTATTGTATAAAAATGTACTGTCACAAAGCGAAAAGGTATTTTAGTATGTATTCTGTGTTTCCTTCACCACTGGAGCACGGACAAAAATTCCCTTTGATCGCGTGACACAAGGAGCAGGATCCGCGCCTTTCATTGGGAGACTGGAGACTAGAAAACCTAGATCACGCCCGTTCTCGTCCCCATAGCCCTTTTCGCTTCTCTTAGCCGACGCGACCTTGGCACGAGAAACGAAGAACTCTAGAAACAGAAGAATTCTCGGACTTTCGGTCTTCAAGTATGCAATCGTAATGTTCTTATATGTTGTAAGGGATTGTCAATGGCGGCTGCCAAGGCAAGACTCGAGGAATCTTTGTATCAGAACTTAAATGGTATCAATTTAAAGAATGTTTCGTCAGTCCAATTTTTTTTTACCAACAGGCTTTGGCATTCATTGATTTTTCAGTTATTGCCCTTTGTTTTTGACTCCTGACATGGAGCAATTGAATCGTTTATTTTGGTTGTTTCGCTCTTAAATGCCTTGATGCCAGATCAGACCGTGAAGCTAAACGATTTGCAGGTCAGCTGCAGCTGTTCTTGAATGGTCCTCCATAAACACGGCTGGTCAAGCTGTTTTACATTTTTCGCGCCACCAATCCGCGCGAACAATTTGACTTCCGTTAAAGATTTCTTTATTTTCAAGTAGCCAATCAAAACACCTGAGGATTAAAATCTTCACGCACACCGTTCAGTGACTGCCCAGCTCAACTGAAAGCTGTCTCACCGTTTGAACTACCAGTGGGCCCCGTACTTGATCTTCCCTTGATACCATCCCTGGGATACCACCTGATTGTTCACAGTCTAATCTCTTTTCGGGTCAAGGTTGCTGAAATTTCAAACTTTACCCTTACTCTACCGTCATCCTTAAGAATTCAGAGTACAGTCGCAACAGAATTTTTTTCATGTTTTCTTTATTTTCTTGTCTAACCTGTTTACTCAATATTTTGCGAATAAACCAAAAATTCTACCTACATGTATATTTCCTTTATCTCTATTTTGCGGTCCCCTTTTACAAAGCCACAAATACATCACAAAATGTCTACTCTTATATAAAAAACGTAGACAATTCTAAAGAAACGTGCACAAGTATTCTTTTTGTGCCACCAAAATTGGGCCACTCTAATAATGAAACAGGCTTTATTTGCACTTAACTTATGCGCTAGTTAATTCCACGTCATTTTTGGTTCTATAAGCTTAAAAATCGTCTCTTGGTTTTCAATTAAAGCCCGGCCCAGCCCAACATTGTTGGCCCAGCATTTGCAAGCTCCGGCCAAACGATCGCAACATTTGAACGCAACACATCGCAACATCGTTGGGCGAAACACGTTGCATGCGTTTGGCTACCTGTTGCGATGTGTTGCTACATGTTGGGTATTGAAAATCGAACTAGTGCGCATACCCGGGCGCGACATTGTTGCACGAGCCTGGCCAAACGACTACAACGTCACGCAACATCCACAAATGTTGCATGAAAAATTTGACCATTGTCAAATGTGAGCCAACAACACCCAACATGCCGCAACATGTCACAACACGTCGCAATTATAGGGGAGCCAAACGCGCGCAACATGTTGCGCCCAACAATGTTGCGATATGTTGCGTTGACATGTTGCGATCGTTTGGCCGTGGCTTAAGAGTTCGGAGATCCTCGGCGTCATTAAAATACCAGCCCACTTCTCTGTTATCGATAAATTTCGCAGATTTCGGGTCCGCTATAATCTTAAAAACGCACTATTTGTCAGCTAACAGTTAAAATCCGGCAACCAATTCTCAGCTATCAGTTACACCTCATTCATAGACATCCCTCGATAGTGGTTTGAACACTTTCCTAAAATTGGTCTTGTGCAACGCACCCGTAAACCGGCTATACCTTAAAAATTGAAGACCCTCTACTAGGCTAATCTTTCAGACAAGCTACTTTCGATTGAAAGCGGAGCTTTTACATCTACAATCCTTCTGCAGTACACTATAATGACAGCAGCATTCGGTTATTGCCCTCAAAGATAACGCTAGCCTGTTTTACTTTGCATAATGTTGTTGTTGTTTTTTTTTCGTCCATTTTTTTTTTTCGTTTCGATTTTTCGTCCATGGTGTGCTTACTAAAATTGTGTGTTACGACCTCGCACAGACTTTACTCAACAAATTAATTTGACGTTTGGCCATCAACACTTCTAGTAGCGTTCTCCTACTTCTAACCCGTATAAGATAAAAGCGTTTTAAATTGTTCAAGACATCAAGAACCTTTCCAGAAGTGATTCCACTTACTAGCTGAAACTTGTGGCAATTAATTTTTTATCAACTTAGAGAAATCCTGTATCAAAGATGACATAGCTTCGTCAAAATATAAATTGCCACCATAATGATAAGGAAACTCACGCTTACGTGATGGACCGAAGCCCTGAAAGCCCAATTCCTTAGCTGTTCCAATCATTGTAATCAACATTTGCTTACAAACTGAACATTCCCTGAGGCGTTTATCAATATCGCCCGAGTGTGATTTACAGTTGGTAAAGTGGAAAGGACACCAAGTCACCCCTTTTTTCAGGTTGTCTGATTTATAAAAGAGCGACATACAGAATTCCACAACCCCAATAAATTGAGGATACAACCGGTCAAGAAACGTTTCTAACCGTTCAAGTCTTTGCGACATGATATTTTGCAAGGTCTCCTGGTCAAGAGCTTCCTGCTGGGTAGCTTCTAAAATGGACTGACGTTTCATTTCCCTTATCGTGGTGTAGCAGCCCTCAAACACACTGCCAAGCTTGTACAAGCTTACAAGTTTCATAATCTTCATTACATTTCTTTCTGTTTTTGGCTGATGCTCGAGGAACTTGACGCACTGCTCAAAAAT